CCGATGTACATGTCAGTGTTTTATCCTCCCAGACGGATCTGATACCAATTAATCGTCCCTGGGGGATAGAACTTGGTTGATCTGACTGGGGGTCGGCCGGGATTCGACGCTAGGAGCGCGCGAATGGTAAGCGCGCATTTGCACCACACCTCTGGAATAAGTTGACTGGATGCTTTTTAGAAATAATCCACAACATTAATCAATATTAGTTCACTTCGTAAAGCAAGGTGCATTAGGAGCCGCTTAACTTCGCCAAAGATGCATTTGCATTAGTATAAAGCTCTGGTACATACTTCCATACGCAGAGTTTCTTGTTAAGAGTTTGTTTCGATGTTTTTTTTGTTTTTTTTTCTAATGTTCGATAGTATTTAGTTTAGAAGATACGAAAGTTTTACCTGTGCATGAGAGATATCCTTCAAAGATAAAAAATTCACCAAGTATACTCGAAATCCCTGAGATCGGGTAGGCGTGGCTGCATGTTTCAACTTAAAGGCAGTTGGCACGATGGTTTCCTACTTAGCCTAAAATGCTAGTAGGGCGCTGTATAGTGGGGAAATGGCGAAAGAACGGAGTGAAACGGTCAAAATCCGGCGAAGAAAAAGCCTCCGTCAGTGACTTGTAAATCGATTTCGGACGAGTTTCCCGTACGCACCTTGCCAATCACCGCTACCGAAGGTACGGCTGCATATGTGTACCCATATACAGGGGGGGCCAAAAAAAAGTCATTTTGCCTCCATGACTTTCAAGGCGCTATAAGTTACACTTTATTAAATTTTACTACCATATTAAAGAGCACATTAAATACTATAATGATACTCGCGCAGCCTTCTGAAGGGAGCGTCTTCGAGAGATTGTCGGCGCGCCGAAAGTGGGTGGGTGGGTACCGGAGTTGAGCGAGGTAGTCGATTTCTCCGCCACCGTAGACCACCCTATCGAACTCCGCCCGAACCAGGTAATTCGAGGGGATTCAGGTCAGGGGGCATACTTTACTATTGCATCTTCTTCAGGTACGAAGCGCCCTTTCATTCGAAGTAGGAGAGAGTTTTTCCAAAACCCTTCGATTCCATGTGGTGGCACCAAAACCTGTAGCAGTAAGGTTTTGTTTCCAAGAGGTACGAGCGTAGCTACAGTGGGGGTAGACGTTATTTCTTCTTTCGGAGTGTTTTTGTGATCTACTTGATGTAACCGCCAGCGCTCACCTTCAGTCGGGGTCTACAAAGAAAATATCGGTCTTCCCCTTTCCAGGTACCCCGGTCCATACCATCAACTCGCGCCTCGGCGAATACGGTGAAGATGATGTCCTAGACCGTAGCGACGTTCGTAGCTGGTCGATGTGGGAGGTCTTGCAGATCAAGAGTACTGACCTCCAGGTAGCTATCTGTGGATGACTTCATTCAAGAAGTTTCGCAGCTGTTTGGAGGCGACGTGAATTCCAAAGGTGTTCTCCAGTCAGGCCGCGACTGGAGATGACTTCATATTTTGGCGTACATGAAGGCGATTGGCGGCAGCGTGCTCCAGCTTATAGAGGAAGATCTTGGGTATCTTCCACTCTGGTATCGTATATCCACTTTCCCTCGTGTGGGCTGCGAAATATCTTCGTTGATGTATTTGGCCTCGCGAAATACTTTTTTTTTGGCCCGCTGTATGCATGCAAGCATCACCACCGCGTTCATACATATCTTTGCTTCTTGTTTTATTTAATTTGCTCAGCAAATGAATGATACGAGCGTCAGAAAACAGGTCGGCCGTTTGTGGGGGCGGCAAGAAGAAGGCGTTTGGGACGTAAAGTTGTTACTCAATAAGGCGTTATAGAGGTATCCCCTCTTGGAAAAGGCTTCACGCAGCGCCTGTCCGAGGTCACGGAATTCTGTTAAGCCAGTTGTACAAATCGCTAACAGGTGTAATAACGATTTACCTGTGGCCGCATTTTTCAACTTAACCTGAAGGTGTCTATGCTTCTGGTGAGATATTTTCATCTTGACACAATTGTTGTCGTGTCTCTGTCCAACACAAGATGACAGTTGTCCCAGACTGGAATATTCCACGAGTAACCAATTCCGTGCCATGTTCAAATGCCACGCCTACTCTAGCTCAGGGATAAGGAGTGTCTGTGTGGGTTACTTGCTTGTTCACTGCGTTCCACGTTGCTGAAGTTAGTAACAAAGGCAATTTTTGGATTGCAAAGTTATGTTTATCACGTAGCGAGATGCAAGCACAAGAAGCACATAAACAGAAAAATTCAATAGCTGCATAAGTTTGTACGAGTAGTGAACGAAGAGACACAAGCCTTCAAAATAAACCTAGGAAAAACAAGGTATTTAGCATTAATCTGTGTGAAAATAGGACCAAGCATGAGGGTCTCAGATAATTCAGAAACAGCTTCTCACAGAGCGGCAAGATGGATTCATGGTATTCGGGCAGTATCTATATAAAAAACATTATAGCTTTCATCAAGCTTGCAAGACGGCCTCTGTCCTTGAAACAGCTCTGAAAATTTTTGACTGGCTCGCAACTTTTACTAGGTATAACTTCGTTCAGAAATAAAGTGGGGCAGAAACACATGGCTCGAAAACTAGAAGGTTTTCTCTTTCTAATGAACCCAATACTTTTGCTGCAGCTTAACTATTTCGCTCTAAAGTCAGCTTCAGCTGCAGTATAGGGAAGTTATATTTTCCCTCCCCTTATAAAGCCCTCATTTCCATCTAGAAATTTCGATTGGCTCTCCGTACACCTTCTCCTCATGAGTCAGATAGGGGTTGGTGCACAAGATTAATGCATGCATGAAATGCGCCATGTTCTCGACTTTCCTTCCGAACGACGGTTCCGGTTCCAAACGACGTATGACATAGCATTGCAATCTTCATACTCCATTCAACTGTTTTTGTTACATGTATGCGTGGGGGACGATTGGTTTCCTCCTTTAGATTCATTATGACAAGGCAGACGACTTATCGGCCAGATTACCTCTTATTTCTCTCAACCATTTGCTTTGCCGAAAGAAAGAATCAGTACATTGACCACCATAACATCCTCTGCAAGCTGCACCTCTGCAAAGTTGCTCGAATGATATGGGGCAGGCGGTGATTTGTCGGAGAGTACTCTGTTATAACCCAATCGTGTTAGCTCTATTTATGGCACCGTACCCTGGATATGAGAAAAGGTGTTCTGCACGTACTCTGAATCATGAACGTTTTTCTTTATGATGAATTACTCACTGAAGACTTTCCAGGGAAAAAAGCTCAGGGGAAACTCTTAAGAACCTCTTGAATAGAGACCCTCTACTCAGTCGAACAATCACATTGGACGCGTTTTACAGACTTGCCGGCGAACCGACATCTGCGACCTCATGCACCCGCTGGCCTTGAAAAACTTTTCTTCGCGTCATCTAGTAATAAACACGAACAACTATCATGTTCGCGAAGGACTGAGTTGCTAGTAAGGGATAATCCCTCCTGTACATGCAACGCAGTGAGGGGGGGGGGGTGAATTACACAAAGTTGTGGTAACTGGAAGCAGGGAAATGGAGAACGGTGGTATAGCGATAAGATCACTAACCTGTCACTGGGAAAAACAACAACATATGTCCATGGCATACGCAGCAGAATGTTTCCAATTAACAGAACACTTCTGAAAATCGTTTTAGGCGGTGCAAAAGGTCATTGTCTCGTCCAGCCACTCGCGTTCTGAAAAACTTCACCAAAATGCAGACATGATTTTGGAGATTTCAACATCACTTGCATAAATTTTCGTAGAGACACGCAATTCTTGAAGCAATCAGTAATCCTGGCAGTGACGATATTCAGTAGCATCGGCAAAGGGACGATCCTCGATGTACCCTGCTAAAATTTTCTCGGTGCTTGGTCACTGTTTTGCAGCTTCGCCAAACTTCGCAGGGCTCGCCAAAATAAGGCCTGTTAGTTAAAGGCAGAAACAGAAAAACGAAAAACAGAAATGGAAACAGAAATGTATGTGCTAGTTGTGTTGCCTGTGTATGAACAAAAAAATGAAAGCGCTCTGAGTAAGGCCCCATTTATGCCAAGCGAGAGACAAAGAGTCGATGCGGATATCGGGCGAGAGAAAGCAGCGAGAGAGTCTGCAAATGAGCAAGACAGCAGATAAAACATCTATCACTTGAGCAACCTTGTGCTTTCGCCGCTACTTTACCTTTCTCCGACGTAAACCTCATACGGGGTTGTTCCTTGCAGTCCACACCACCTTTCTGTACAGTGATTAGACAGTTGTACCTGATCGCGGGCTCCGCCTTCAAGCTGAACAAGCAAAAGAGCTGGAGAAAAGTGCAATGTGCCCCTCCCAACCGGAGAGCATCAACTTCTCCACTGTACCAAGTTTTTTGTCAAGACCTGTGCAAAGAAAGTGCGACAGTGTTTCGTCTAATTCATTTCCTGAAGCCCTAGTAGAGGGGCGTTCAATCGATTCCGTAGTTAATTAGCCTGGGTCCGCATTCACAAAGAATGTAGCCTTTGAACGACATAAAAACATGCAGAAAGTGAGCTGAAAGCTTATCTTTTGGGCACGTGAGACCCTTGCCTTACATGTGATGTCGTGCCATGAGCTCCTGACAATGACAGGTTGCATGTCTGGTCTCTTGCGCGTATAACCAGCATCTTCCTCTAACACGGGTACTCGTACAACAGGACAACTGGTCCAAACTAAATTGAATTTGGCGGTATACCTATTTTCTTGCTTACTGTCGCGCTGACTGCACGATCGTAATCAAAAAGTTTGCTTTTAAAAATGCCATGCGATGGTACGGATTATCAGAGACTAATTTTAGCGCCCTTTTTACCTGTCCCTTTCTTGACAGTAACTCATGAAATCGACACCGAAAGGTGAAGAGTTTTGTGGATATAGTCCCATTGAGCAATGCACAGTCTAAGAAATTGGGTTGCTTCCTGCAGTTGTGACCGTGATAGCCACTTCTACCAAAAAAAAAAGAACACGAAGCACTTTCACATTTTTTCCATCGAAATTTCATTGACATGTTCCTGTTGCAGGTGTTAGGTGTCTATGTGCCTGGTTTGATCGGATGGTTAATTTCGCTGGAATGGCTAGGAGGACCTGTTTTATGCAAAGTGATGCGATTCATTGACGCATTTGTTCTAGCAATCAGGTACATTTTCTTGAACACTAATCCTTTCTGTTGTGGCTGTGACTATGAGTCGGTTATAGTACCTCCCACGAAATAAACGGGACAAGTAGGTGTTTCTCCAGTTCATCAGTAGTAGGTAGACCTCATCTTCATTAACAATAAGAGAGGGCTTGAAGTGCGAATTCAAGGAAATGAGTTAGAGCTGGTCGCATCACACAGGCTGAACGAAAGAGTTTTCATTGGCTGGTCCTGACGAATCAGGGTACACACGCATCGTTATGGCTGACACAAGGAGGAATCGGAATTTGTCTCTGGGAGGAGAGTCGTATCCTCAGTCCGTTGGGGGAGAGGGGATTTGCATTTGTTTCAGTGTCTTCGAGATTGTGTCACCCTAACATATACCCCACATACCGATCAACAGAAAATTTTAAGGGATAAAGTGGGGATATTCGAGGGAACCTTTGAGAAAATCGGCAAGGAATTTGTGAAAATCTAGGGAAAAAAGTGGTGAAGAGAAAGGGTGAGTCTTACCGTCCCGTTTCACAATGTCTATTTACTCCCCTCCCCGCCGTCATTTCTCGACCGCGAGAGGGCGAGGGCCAGAGCGCGCAGGGAGGGGAATCTACGGAACTCGATCAAGATCCCACCAAAATATCGCGTTCCGCGAACCATGCACATCTAGGCAACGACCCAAAAAAGGCCCCATCGTGATGTAGCTTGACCAATTTTAACGCGAGCCCGTGAAGAGTAATCAATTTTTGTGATGGCACACCGCGCAGATTTTGAACTGGCTTGACCCATTGCTTATGGCCTAGATTAAGGCAAAAAGGGGGGGGGTGCCAAAGGACCCTTCACATGCCATGCACCGCTGACCTTCAGTTTTGATCGACAATTAACAAAATTCGGGAAGGCTGGAGGAAACTGCGCCTGTCCTTACCAAGGCAGGACTCCCGTCTAATCAACAACCAGCGTAGAACTCGTTTGGGCAAAACCTTCACTTCTTTGTTTATGAGGAAAACAAAACACTACCTCACTTATGAGGCATCCAATAGAATGTTATACCTGTGCGATCAGATCCTTCTTACAGAGGCGCCCGGATGGAATAGAGGGACTCTTGCTGGCATTTGGGCGAAACCTCCCTGGTTTGACAAAACGAAATCAGAAAGGTTTTAGGGTGTCACCGTCGTGGCCCACGCGCGAGCGCTTCGCTCCTCTCTGCGCGGCTGTCCGTTTCCACTCTGGTCGTCTGCGCTCCAAGCCTCAGCCCTTTTGGGGGAAGAATACAACGATGTGAAGTGCCAGTTTTTGTGATGAGGTCTCAGTAAAGGCGATATACATGATATAGCGGTTTTCAGCTCAAATATTATGGTCTGTATTGCGATATACCGTCTGTACGCCCTCCGTTATCCTCTCTGGATCTCGACAGTCGGCCACAGCCGAGTGCGTCGTATGTTACTGCTTGCTTGGGGTATGGCCACTCTCACTATGCTTCCTCAGCTCTACGTATGGAGAGAGGTGCTACCAGTTTTCATTCAGTTTATGCTTCTAATCCCTTATTCTTGAGGATCTTGTTAGTTCAGGAATGATCACAAATTTCTTTTTTTTAATTAATTTTTAACACGTCGTTTTTATGCTTGGTGATATATCCCCCAATTACGTGGTGAGTAGGCACATAGTGTACCACTTCTCCATTTGAAAGGGGGTGGTAAGAGCGGATGGCGGCTTCAGGCTGACAGATCCTTTCCTTATGCTTCCAGCCATAATATATGGATATCCACCTTCACTGCTTCTGCAGATGTGGTGTTCTACCGCTCGTAGCTGAGTCTTGCCTCGCTCGAGTCGCTGAGCGTCTCTGCGTCCTGTTTACCAGGACATCGCCCGGCCCTGGAAATTATCCAGATCTCATTTGGGACGTTTTCGACAGGTTCCTCCAGTCAAACAACACTTCGGTTTCGTGTTGGAACTCTACCCTCCATGACTTGCCGTTTAGAAATGTATTTTAGAAGATAGGGGTCATATCTACCGAGAGGAAAACGCGACTAACTTCATGCTTTCAATTCTCTAGAAGTGCTTTCGTGTAGAGACTGTCCACTACAAGGTTTCACAGTCAACTTTTCTGATTTCATTCCCATTTCTAGAATATTTCACCATGGAACTCTCCTTCTGTGAAGCCTCACCTTGAGCTCTCGCTGCTCACTTTATTAGGTTGTCCGGAAAGTTCTGCACGTTTTGTGTTACTATTTTTTGAACATTCATTGCTGATTAAAAACTCACTCTCCCTTGCGTCTCAGTAGTACATATTGCAAAGCATTCTTTGCCCCATCTGATGGTATAATTGCCGTTTCACCATTGCTTGATG